ATATTACCTAAAGTAGCCCCATGTATAATAATTTTGATTGAAAATATCACATTGATTTTAAAACTATTCTTTCACCTCAAAGAGATCCTGCTTAGTAAAAGAGGACACTGTATATGGGATCTAATTTATTAATCACTTTTCAACATTTAACTTCACCTGCAGGTTTTAACCAGTGTTGAGTTCCTCCACTAAACATCAGACACTGAAACTCAAAAGAACATATATTTTAAATTCTGTATGACTGTCACATTGAGATTACAATATTTTGGAAGGCCATTTGATTTTCTCAAAATATGCAAGCATACTCAGGACTGCACAGTCTCATGTAGAATAACCTTTGCTTAGAAATACAAATGTATAGAGGTAATCATATCTCTATGCATTTGAGGAGAATCATATGAGGATAGAGCCTTTTATGAAAGCCAGTATAGTGTAGTTAGTGGTTTAGGTATTGGACTACGCCAGGGGTAGGCAACCTAAGGCCCGCCGCCCGCCATGATGATATTGATTACTGTTGTTATTACTTATTCTTGGGGTTTTCTTGGCAAAATCTCCACAGGACTTTTGCCATGGCTTTTCTGGGGCTGAGAGAGTGTGCATGCATATTTTAAAATTTTTATTTATTCATTCATTCATTCAATTTATTTATTTATGGTGCTTCGGCTCCCCAATTGTCTGAGGGACAGCAACTCGGCCCCTGGCTCAAAAAGGTTGCCTACCCCTGGACTACGCTCTAGAAGACCAGGGTTCAAATTCCCAGATGGCCATGGAAACACACTGAGTGACCTTGGACAAGGCACATGCTCTCAGCCTCAGTGGAAGCTAATAGGAAACCCCTTTTGAAAATAGCTTGTGAAGAAAACCTTGTGATAGTCACCAGGAATTGGAATGACTTGAAGGCACACAACCACAAATGAGGTAACTACACAGACATGTAAAATTACAAATATACTACTCTGTTGCCCCTGTATTATCAGGTTGCCTGTGAAAATACACCAAAATATATATGTACATGCAATTTTGACATAATGACTATATGCTTACTGAAGTCTATTTTTTTCACACAAATGCTTTCATATTTAACATTCACATTAGCCCTCAAAAGTTATTATATATACAGTATTGTCATGTATTCATATTAACCTCTTCCAGTACTATTTTCAATTACTGGGTCATGTTACAGGTTTTCCACAGAAAAATGGACTGAAAAGCAGCAAAAGGGCGTAGTCCACCATTGAAAATCCTAATTACTTTTTTCTAAGCCAAATATGCCAAGTACACAGTGACAGACATGGTGAAGCCCCAAAATTTGCAGGAATAGAAAAATCTTGAGGAAACATCCTAAGCAGACAACTTCTTTCTCCTACAAATCATTTTTGATTTATGGCAACCCTAAGGCGAACCTATCATAGGGTTTTCTTAGCAAGTTTCTTCAGAGGGAGTTTGCCACTGAATCCTTTGAGGATGAGAGTGTGTGGACTGCCCAAGGTCACTCAATGGGCTTTTATGCTCAGACCGGGAATCGAACCCTGATCTCCAGAGTCATAATTCAATGCTGAAACCATTACACGCACTAGCTCCTTCCCCCCCTAAAAAGTTAAGATCTTAAGTGGCCCAGAGTATGGATAGATTGAAAGAAAACAATAATTGGGTAAGAGAGATAATGAAAAAGGCAGATAATTTTAAAAGCAAAAAAAAAGTTAGAATGCAAATAGAAAGAAGCAGCTATAGGAGGAGGAAAAAGACACTGAAACAAATAACAATAGTAGACAGAATCCTCTTGTTTTATGGGTTGATAATGCCATGCTTCACAGCAATAAGCTATTTTAAAATGCTCTAAGGAATGGAAGTTAGAGGTACCACATACAACACTTGAGAAATCAAAGATTTTAATAGCCCAAATTTTTAAAAAGCTAATATTAATAATAAATCTGAAGCAACTGAAATCCTAGACAGAAGCATCCTACACTGCAATGTTTTGTTCCCACTAACCAGCAAAGTTGGAGACTTTGACTATAGATCAAGTGATCTTGGGCTATACACTCAGTTCCAAAATATGGTAATACAGTCAGTACTCCACCTTTGCGGCTTTGACTTTTGCAGATTTGCTTATTCACAGATTTGTATAATATGATCTCTCTAGGAATCTCTAGGTCCTCCAGCGCATTCTGCCACAAGTGGATAACAGCGTTGCAATGGAAGACCTAGAGATTCCTAAAGAAAACATTTCTCTTGCTATTTGTAAGCTTCCAATTTGATTCTATGGCCAAGCTCTGGTGGATTCTGACCACAGAATTGCATTGGAGGACCTAAAAGATTCCTAGATATGTGTTCTCCCAGGTTAAAAACATAGGGTTTATTTGTGGTTTTTCCACTTTCACAGGGGTCCTAAGTCCCTACTCCAACAAATGTGGAGGGTCCACTGTACATATCACATTTTGTTTGAAACAAGTGGTAACGGAAAGGAGTAGGTGATCCCTGGTTGCATTGGGATACCTCAGAGTTCAAGAAACATATCTGCTGGGCAATAGCTTTCACTGACTGACAAAGGAGCAAATAGGGGCTCTTTTATCTCTTATTATGAGAATAAGGTCAAAAAGAGAAAACCACTGGATGATGCAGATGAAGGATGACTAGGATGTGCATGAAGCAGCTGCCCTCTCCCCTGCTACTTCACTTTTTGTTGGTGTTAACTGCCTTTGAGTTGACTTCAACCCATGGTGACCCTCTGAATGAGAGACCTCCAAGTCAACCTGCCCACAACTGCTCAGGTCTTGCAAACTCAGATCTGTGGCTTCTCAGATTAAGTCTATCCACCTGGAATGTGGTCTTCCTCGTCTCCTACTGTCCTCCATTTTACCAAGTATTATACAGTCTGCCCTCCACATTTGAAGCTTTAACTATTTGCGGATTTAATTAATACAGTATGTTCTCTCTAGGAATCCCTAAGCCCTCCAGAGAAATTCAGCTGGAAATTGACCAGAGTTCCAATGGACGATCTAGAGATTACTAGAGAAAATACCTCTCTAGGCATTTGTAGGTCCTCCAGCATGATTCTATGTTCAATGTTTGGCAGATGTTGACCATAGAATTGTGCTGAAGGACCTAGAGATTCCTAGAAATGTGGTCTCTCAGGCTAAAAAGGCAGTGGGATTATTGTTTTTGTTTTTGCAGTTTTTTCACTTTCACGGGGGTACTTGTGCCCCTAACGCCAGCAAATGTGGAGGGCCTACTGTACTCTTTTCTAGTAAGTCATGTCTTCTTGTGATACGGCCCAAATACAACAACCTCACTTTAGGGCCTTTGCAGACTGTCCGAAATAGTGCACATTAAATTGAGGCACTGCCCTGGCTCAGTGCTAGGGAGTCATGGGAATTGTATTTTTTTCTGAGACATTGAGCCTTCTCTGTCAGAGAGCTCTGGTGCCACAATAAATTACAGATGTTTTGGACTTCAGTTCCCAGAATCCCAGACTATTGGCCAAGATGGTTGAGGCATCTGGGAGCTGAAGTACAATGAAGTACAATGGAGTAGCCAAGTTGGAGACTCACTGATCTAAAGTTAGGATTTAATCATGAGGCTGTCTTCATAGCAGAAATAATCCAGTTTGGCACCACTTTAACTGCCATGGCTCAATGCTGTGGAATTCTGGAAACTGTCATTTTGTGAGACATTTAGCCTTCTTAAAGGATGGGTGGGATTCGGGATTTTATGTTCTGTTTAATGTATGGAAATTGTAATGTTGTAAGCCGCCCCGATTGCTCTGCAGAGGGGCGGGATATAAATAAAAATTATTATTATTATTATTATTATTATTGTCAGAGAGCTCTGGTGCCACAATAAACTACAATTCCCAGGATTCCACAGCAGAGCCAGGGATGTTAAAGTGGTGTCAAACTGAATTAATTCTTCAGTGCCAATATATCTTTATCCTTCAAGATCTTGTCTAGTGCCTTCATAGCTGCCCTTCCAATTCCTAGTCTTCTTATTTCCTGACCAGAGTCTCCGATCTGATTGATAAATGAGCCTAAGTATGGAAAATCTCGAACTGTTTCAATTATTTTCATCGTCTGCTTTAAAATTATATAGATCCTATGTGTGTCATGTGCCTTCAAGCTGACTTATGGCGACCCTAAGGCAATCCTATCATGGGGTTTTCTTGGCAAAAATTGTTCAGAGGAAGCTTGGCATTGCCTTTCCCTGAGGAGGCTGAAAGAGTGTGACTCACCCAAGGTCATTCAATGGGTTTCATGGCCGAGAGGGGAACTGAATCCTGGTCTCCAGAGTCATAGTCCAACACTCAAATAGGCAAAATTTGTTCAGAGGAGGCTTGCCACTGCTTTCCCCTGTGGCTGAGAGAGTGTGACTCACCCAAGGCCACCCAGTGGGTCTCATGGCCAAACTGAGAATCAAACCCCTATCTCCATAGTCCAACACTCAAATGGGCAAGGGATATTTTGCCCTTGCTACCCTCTAAGGCTGAGAGAGTGTGACTCACCCAAGGTCATTCAATGGATTTCATGGCTGAGCAGGGAATCAAACCCTGGTCTCCAGAGTCATGGTTCCAAAACAGACTGCAGAAATAATCCAGTTTGAGACCACTTTAATGGCCCTGGCTCAATGCTAGGGAATTCTGAGAACTGCAGTTTTGTGAGACATTTAACCTTCTCTGAGAGAGCTCTGAGGCCACAATAAGCTACACTTCCCAGGATCCCCTAACCACTGAGCCAGGGCAGTTAGAGCAGTCTCAAACTGGTCCAACACACAAATGGGCAAGGTTTGTTGAGAGATTTTTTACCCTTGCCATCCTCTGAGGCTGAGAGAGTGTGACTTGTCCAAGGTCACTCAATGGATTTCATGGCCTAGCTAGGAATTGAACTCTGGTCTCCAGAGTCACAGTCCAACACTCAAATGGACAAGATTTGTTCAGGAGGTTGTTGCTTTTTTATTACCCTCTAAGGCTGAGTGTGACTTGCCCAAGGTCACCCAGTGCGTTTATACGGCTGATCTGGGATTTGAACCCTGGTCTCCAGAGTCCTAGTCCAGCGCTGAAACCACTATGCCAAGCTGCCTCTCACACAGACCTTCCCTTGTTAACACAAAGATATTCAGATATTGTCCATCCCAAAGAGATGCCCCACAAAATGGAATCCATCAGTCGTGGTCCCCAAACTGGGCCCTTTAAGGGATTTTGGACTTCAGCTCCCAGAAGCCTCAGCCATGTTGGCCAATAGTCTGGGATTCTGGGAGCTGAAGTCCAAAACCCCCTAAAGGCGAAGCCCCACCTGGACCCTCCTCCGGTCTCCCTGTCTGACCCTTCTGGCCCCAATTCTGCCCCCGCTCTCCAGCCCACTCCCTTGACCACTGAGTGGGGCCAAGGGTCAACCGAGGCTGGACCCCCTCAGAGAGGAGAGAGATCGAACCCCGCCGTTACCTGAGTGGGATGACCGCCTCCCTCTGCGCATGCGTCGAACAAGAAACTACACCCCGCCTCCGTTGCACTGGGCAGGCGCGTCCTTCCCATCTCTGGGCTGCGGAAGCCGGATCCCGCTGGGTCCTAGTGCGAGTTCATTGCTGGTTGTTGTTGTTCTTAAATTGTGTTGTTAAATGATTACATTTTAAACGTGGATTTTTTAAAATATGTGCACATCTTGTTTGTCCCTTTAAATTTAGGTGTGTTTTAACTAATATTAGCAATAACAATAATAATAACAACAATAATAATAATAATTTCTTACTGTTTCTCCCCATGGAGACAAACAACATCAGTTAACTTATGTGTTTTAACTGATGTTAGTCATAATAATAATAATAATAATAATAATAATAATAATAATAATAATAAAATAATTTCTTACTAACTGCCTCTCCCCATGGAGACAAACAACATCAGTTAACTTATGTGCTTTAACTGATGTTAATAATAATAATAATAATAATAATAATAATAATAATAATAATAAATTTCTTACTAACTGCCTCTCCCCATGGAGACAAACAACATCAGTTAACTTATGTGTTTGAACTGATGCTGTTTGTCTCCATGGGGAGAGGCAGTATTATATTATTATTATTATTATTATTTGACTTAAGGCAACCCTAAGGCAAAGTGACCAGATGTCCTCCATTTCCAGGACCTGTCCTCCATTTCAACCTTCTGTCCAGGAGGAGTTCCACGAAGGGCCTCCATTTTGAGCAGGACTAAGAAGCACGGATTAATAGTTCTTGGAGTCTTTTTAGCTTTTATTTGGCCATGTCCTACATTTGACTATGACTAAGAAGCATGCATTTGCATTTCGATTAGTGTTTTTAGCTCTTATTTGGTCATGCCCTACATTCCAGGCTTCTGTCCTCCATTTCAACCAGAAGGAATTCCATGATGTCTTCCCTTTGGAGCATGATTAAGAAGCATGCCATGATCTGCTCCTGGTATTGTTTTTGCAGAGAGAATGGAACTTCTCCATCTTCTTCCAATTTTGTATCTATTAGAGCTCGATATTGGCCATCAGCTGATGATATGCATGTCTATAGTCACTTCTTGGGTTGCTTGAATATGAGACAAACAATGTTGACCTCACAAAATTCAGTCAGTTTGCCCCCATGGTTCCCTAGGACTGAGCCAGGACAGTTAAAGTGACCTCAAGCTGTACTATTTCTACAGTCTGTAAAGGCCCTAAATGAACTAAATAGCTACTGGGCAGCAGCAGTAGTAGAGGGTGACACTGGTGGAAGGTCTCTCAGAGACAACGATAGTGGTACTATAGCTAACACTTGTTAGTTCTGTGCAGAAGGAGACATGGTAAACTCTCTTTTGAATGTCTTTTACTGTGAAACCCCTATGATGAGATAATCCAAAACAAAACAAGAGCTAGTGCCAGAAGATGAGATTCCCAGGTTGGAAGGCTCTCAACAAGCTACTGGGCTACATCAGAGGACAACTACGAATAGCACTATCACTAATAACACAACTGGACTCGTCAAAATGATGCCATCCTGCCACACAGGAGCCCACCATCCTACCATCATGGAAAGGTACTACAGTCATCCCTTGGTATCCGCAGGGGATGCATTCTGGATACCAATACCTGCAGATGCTCAAGTCCACATTATCTCCAATGGCCGTGCATGCCATTAGGGACAGCCCCTATTGTCCCATAGCGGCATGTGCATGCTGCTACACCACCATTGGGGACAACTGAACATAAAAGCGGCACGGCCGCATGCACACACCGCCATCCGACAACAGGAGCTGTCCCTAATGTCGCCATTATGTTTGGTTATCCCCAATGGTGGTGTAGCAGCGTGCACATACCGCCACGGGACAATAGGGGCTGTCCTTAATGGCAGCATGGTCACATGCATGCACTGCCATTGGAGATAATGTGGGCTTGAGCATCTGCAGGTATTGGTATCCAGAATGGATCCCCCCGTGGATACCAAGGGCGACTGTAGTACCTTTCCATGGTGGTAGGATTGAGGACAATGCAGGCTTGCGCCAGATGGCAAGTCCAGGGATACCAAGGGCCAACTGTACCATGTGCATAGGAATCTTCAATATTTCCTAATGGGGAGATGTCTTCCCTTTTCTCACCTACATGCTAAGGAAAACCCCACAAAAGTCTGTATCCTAGCTTCTTTAGGTACCTGTGTATGTTCAGCTGCATATAGGAGTATGTCTTAGGAACCACCCTTAAATGTGTTTACACAAGCAGAGGAGTGCAGAGACCCTAGCGCTATAGATGAAAGTTCTTCAAAGCAATCGATCTGTTCATTGGCCAAGAATTGTGCATTTAACATACACCATGCCTGTCTCCCCCTGCCCCCAAATAGGCTTTCTTGCTTGCAGTCAGCAGATTTACAGCAATTCGTCACCTAGAATGGCTCCCTTCGAAGTTCCTGCTCATATTCCTGGCCATTTTATTTATTTGTTTATTCCTTGCCTCCACTGGTTATCTCTGAGAAGCAAACCGAGAGACAGGAAACTTTGCAGCAATGTTTGCCTTTTTGGCTGTAGTAGCCCTTCTCACAACAAGGCCGTTGCAGACTGCCAGAAACTGAGTCCACTTTAAGGGTTAGGGTTAGTGCTAGGGAATCATGGGAATTGTTTTTTTTCTGAGACATTGAGCCTTCTCTGTCAGAGAGCTCCGGTGCCACAATAAAATACAGTTCCCATGATTCCCTAACCCTAACCCTTAAAGTGGACTCAATTTGCACTATTTCTAGCAGTCTACAAAGGCCTGTGAAGCAATAAGACTCACTCTAGGCCTTTGCAGACTGCCAGAAATAGTGCAAATTGAGTCCACTTTTAGGGTTAGGGTTAGGGAATCATGGGAACTGTAATTTATTGTGGCACCAGAGCTCTCTGACAGAGAAGGCTCAATGTCTCAGAAAAAAATACAGTTCCCATGATTCCCTAGCACTGAGCCAGGGCAGTGCCTCAATTTAATGTGCACTATTTCTGGAAGTCTGCAAAGGCCCTTAGCCACCTGTGTTGTCCCTCCAAATGAGCCTCCATTTTCATACACTTCATCCATCCTGTTTAATATCTGTTTCATAGCACTTTAGTTGGTATAGTTCCATCCTGTGGAATCCTGGGGTTTGTAGTTTGCTGTGGGACTGACAGCATTAGAGCTCTCTAGCAGATAATTCTAAATCCCTCCCCAAACTATAAATCCTAGGACTGCATAGGAGAGGCAGCCATAGCAGCTACAGGGGTGTGTGTGTGTGTGTGTGTGTGTGTGTATCAAACTGATGTAGCTGTGTACTGCACATAAGTCACTATGGTGCAGATAGACGAGGAAGTTGCCTCTTAATAGGCATCTGGCGTGCATTCGCACACAAAAATAATTCAGTTTGACACCACTTTAACTGCCATAGAATTCTGGGAATTGTTGTTTTGTGAGATATTTAGCCTTCGCTGTCAGAGACCTCTGGTGCTGCAACAAACTGAAATTCCCAGGGTTCCATAGCATTGAGGCATGGCAGTTAAAGTGGTGTCAAACCAGATTATTTTTGCAGTGGGAATGCAGCCCTGGTGGAATAGAGGTACCAGCAGACAGGGGGGACTTTAAAGAGCCAAATTCTGAAGAAGCTGAATGTGTTGCAGGGAGTTCAGTAGAGGTGAAGCAGGATATAAACCTAGCAAATAAATAACCCTAACTAGCTAAATATCTGAGCCTACTTGCTATGTATGTGTGTGTCTTAGGGCCTTTGCAAACTGCCAGAAATAGTGCAAATTGAGTCCACTTTAATTGCCCTGACTCAGTGCTAGGGAATCATGGGAACTGTAGTTTATTGTGGCACCAGAGCTCTCTAACAGAGAAGGCGCAATGTCTCAGAAAAAAATACAATTCCCATGATTCCCTAGCTCTGAGCCAGGGCAGTTCAAGTGGACTCAATTTGCACTATTTCTAGCAGTCTGCAAAGGCCCTTTAGAAACCTTAACAAGACAGCTAAATCCCACTATGGTCCAAAACACACTGCAGAAATAATCCAGTTTGGGACCACTCAATGCTATGGAATTCTGGGAACTGTACTTTTGTGAGACATTTATCCTTCTCTGTCAGAGAGCCCTGGTGCCACAATAAGCTACAATTCCCAGGATTCCCTAGCACTGAGCCAGGGCAGTTAAAGCAGTAAAGCAGATAAATGTCTCACAAAAGTACTGGATTATTTCTGCTGTGTGCTTTGGACCTACATTCAATAAGACGTTTTAAAAGAAAGGATGCAAAAACTTGAACCCTTCTTCAAAATAAAATGATATGCATTTATTTAATGGTGCAATTAAGGGTGGCAGACCAGTCTTAATGTATGCAAATTTATTTAAGTGGGTTTACTTCCAAGTGTGTATATAATGTAGCCCTCCCTGTACATTTTAGGCCAGCATCACATGTAGCTTAAGTGATTTGTGGACTGCATCACATATTGATTGAAAGTATTGGTTAATGTAGGGGGGTTGCAGACTGCCAGAAATAGTGCAAATTGAGTCCACTTTTAGGGTTAGGGTTAGGGTTAGGGAATCATGGGAATTGGGGTTTTTTTTCTGAAACATTCAGCCTTCTCTGTCTCAGAG